AGGGACTGTGTCATGGGTGACAGGGGGCAGACGCACTCCTTGGTTTGTGATTTGAAGGCTGTCCGGTGGAGCCCGTGTCCAGTGCCTCTGCGGCTCTGCCAGTCCTGCTGGTCACTGGCTGCTGAGGCCTGGGTCACAGCTCCAGCACCGGCCCCTGGGGGGCTCACTCGGTCCAGGGACAGAGCGCCTCATGGCATCGGGAGGCAACAGTGTGATCACGGCGGAAAAGGCCCCTGATGAAGGCAGGGCAGGACTCCGGGGGCTGCTCTGAGCACAGAGATGCCCCCAGGTCCAAGTCCACTCCCCCTCTGCCTGGGCTTGACTGAGTCCTGGTGTAATTCAGTAGCGAAGGACAGCGGCTGGTCAGATCCCAGGAAGCAGGGCCTGGGCGAGGGAGGAGGGGAGCGAGGAGACCCCAGGAGGAGGGAGCCCACGGCGTCCCGTTGGATTCTGTTCTGGGGCATCAGCTGGTGCTGTTGCCTGGGATGTGTTCCAAGAGAGACAGGCCCCTCCTTACTCTCCTGGGGCTGGAGTTTCAGGTCTCTGGGTGGCCCTGCCCTCTGCGGGAGGCTCATGGTGGAAACTGAGCCCGATGGGTGAGGCGGGTGACTCGGCCACGCATGACCGCTTCGCCCTCTGCTCCTGCCTGCAGGATGGTCCACCTCCATGGAGACGCCCCACAGCCTCCGTACCACTGGCCCGCCCCGGCCTGTGCTCAGTGGCCCCAGTCCTGACCCTGGCTCCACTGAGCTGACCCCACTCTGAGAGCCTGGCCAGGCTGGCAGCATGGAGCCCTTAGCTCCCCAGACTTTGCCGAGGGGCCACCGGATTCCAGCGTGACCCCTGGCCTCTCCTGTCTTGCACGCTCTGCGTGGCCACTGGTTCTGAGGGGCCACACGACCCTTGATTGAAGAGCACAGTGGACTGTGTCCTCTGACAAATTCCTTTTTCTACAGTCTATGTATTTGTAAATGGTACAAGATGAAGGACGGCAGCTTTCTGTTCTGGGCTCTGAGCTCTGGGGTTTCCCCCAAACGCCCCATTGGCTAAATGGCTGGGACTGGGGCCTGACCACCCACGTGCAGCCTGGACCAGCTTCTCGCAGCATCCTAGCTACTGGGGACTTGACATCCCAAGAACTCACAAATTCTCCGAAGAAAATTGTGTTGGTGGGTGAGGTGGTATCTTCATAGGAGATATTATAGGGACCTTGTTGGCCGAGGAGGAAAGGAAGTGGGGTCTGAGTCATGGTCAGTGAAGGAAACAGTGCCTGTCCCCTGCCCCACGTGCGCCTGTGTCCTTGGCAGCCCAGCCCTTGCTGCTCACGCCCTCTGCTGCTGCTTCTCCTTCCTGGTCCAGGCCGGTGGCTGGGGGGGTGGGGGGCGGCGGGCTGCCTCCCACAGCTCCCCCCACGCCCTGCGGGCTGGGGGCTGGGTCTACCCCTGGGGGCAGAGGCAGCAGACAGAGACTGGTGGTCCCTCTCTCGACCCTGCGCCTTCTCTGAAGCGGCTTTGCTCACATGGCAGGTCCCTGCAGGTGCAGGGGCTTCCGCTGGGCTAGCTGCTGCCCACTTGCCCCAGGGAGGGATCTGAGCAGCTTCCCTGCTCCCTCTTGGCCACTGAAGTGTCCCTTGGTTTCTCTTTGACTTGTCCTGTCTGGGGTCCCTGTAGTGGACCTGCCTGGGGGACGCACATGGCAGATCCCGTCTAAGGTGACCTCGTCTTTTTTTTTTTTTTTTTTAAAGCAAAACTTTCTGGTCAACAGCAAGGCAAAGGGGGCATCCAGCCCTGGTGGCCCAGGGTGACAGTTGCCCAGCAGGGACCTTGAACCGGGTGGTTGGGTCTGTGCAGCTCTCTGAGGTGGGAACACTGTCCTGGTCTGGGGTGGGGGGTGCAGCGCGGCCCACTTCCTGAGGAGCTGTCCTGGGAAGGACGGTTCTGGGGCAGCCGGCAGCAGTCCACAGAGCCCTGTGGCCCAGCCGGCCTGTGTGTGCAAAGCCCTGGCCCCCGCCCCAGCACCCTCCCTGTGGCTCGCCCCACAGGGTGCTCAGGAGAGAATCCAGCAGTAGAGGACTCGTCTTCTTTCCAGTTGAGCCTGTGAGCAGAGCGCTGCCCTAGACACAGTTCTCGGCCATGCGCAGGCCAGCTTTTCCCAGCCACTTGACTCCCTGCCCTCCCTGGCCCTCCCCGGCCCTCCCCTGCTGCCCACTGTGTGCTCAAGCCCGCGCGAATGCCAGCGCGCACACAGCCTGGCTGCCTCCCTCCCTCCCTCCCCTTCCTGCTCCCGACCTGCCAACCCCGGCCTGTCGCCCGTTGGTATTGGTGCCAGTGCTCTGTTTGAAGGCCGGGATGCAGACTGGCCTGTCTTGGACTTACATGTGCTATCATTTGATGTACTCTGATTGGCTAGTTTCTGTTCATTTTTACTGTATATTTATAGTAATAAAATCATGCAGCAATATCTTGTCCGCTCCTTCCTCTGCGCATTGCACCGAGGGACCTCAGCTGCTTCTTGGTCTGGAGGCAGGACGGCGGAGTGGCTCCAGGCAGCTCTGGCCGCCGCCACCGCAGTGTGAGCACGTCTGTGTGCACGAGTTGTCAGTGGCACGTGACTTCCAAGAGGGCGAGAGCGCATGAGGTGGTACGTGCGAGCTGCTGTTTATTACAACCGTGGCCGTCATTGTGCTGATTCTGGGTTGGAGTGAAGCGGACTCTGGGGACGGGGCTCGTCTTCTGAGCGGTGGAGCAATCCCCGTCTTCACTGCCGATCCGTCCCTCAGATACTTACTGAGCACCTACCATGCTGGGGCTGGAGGGGGCCCACACCTGCATGGCCCCGGCCCGGGGAGTTTGTGTTCTAGGCACTGGGACACTGTGCAAGTAATCCGAATCTTCCCAGGTTGGGTGACTGTTGGAAGAGTCAGCTGGTGACCAGGTGGAGCTCCATGGAGTACTTGATTTAACCTGTGGCGGAGGAGGGCCTCTCTGAGGGGAGTTTCAGCTGAGCCCTCCCAGTGCTGACAAAGGCCCTGGGGCCAGAGTGAGTCTCGTATGACCCCTGAGCAGAAAGAAGCCCTCGTGGCTCTGGTTGCTGGAGCATCAGAATCGAGGGGTGTTGGTGGGGTGCAGATGCCTCAGGACCTTGTAGGGACAGTTTTATTCTGAGAACAGAGGTTTTTACACAGGGCAGCAACTCTCCACAGCTGTCGTGGGGAATGGATTAGAGGGCCAGGTTTGGTTGCTGGCTTCCCTGCCCGGCGGGCGGCCTCCCAGTAGGGAAAGGCTCTAGCGCCCCAGAGCTCCCAGGCAGCACTGGCCCCACGCTGCCTCCTCAGGTCCCCTCTGACTCAGGTGCTTACTGGTGAGATCAGTGTTCTCAGCTAGCTAGTCCATGCCCCGTGTCAGGCCTGCCATCCTCAGCCCTGCAGCGGCTGTCCTGTTTGGGTCTGGCATGGTCCCAGGGTGGGTAGAAAGGTGTTCCGTGTCAGACGAGTTCTTGCGTGGGATGCGCTGGATCTCCCTCCACACTTTTGCCAATGGACCAGGAATTGTGTTAACATCTTGTGTCAGGGAGGGGTTGGGGGCGTGGGGTACCTTTCCTCTGTGCCCCCTTCCTCCCCCCTTCCCCCAGCCCTGGGTTTGGGTCATGGAGACGTGGCCACCTGTGGCCTGGAGATGTCGTCTGTCTCGGGATGGGCCCTTCCCCTCGCTGACCTCTCTTCAGACACGGTTACTTGCCCTGGAATCTGGCTTCTCCCTGCCAGTTGTGGTTGCCCCTTCTGAGTCCTGACCCCCGGGAGAGGCCATGGCTGGGGACAGAGCCTGCCTCTTTGGATCCTTTTTCCCCATTTGAGAGTACTGGCACGGACTCACTGTGTGAACAAGTGTATAGTGGGTCCTACCAACCCCTTGCCAGCCCTCTGCCCCTGCTCTCCTCTCCTCAGCCCTGCTGAGGGCAGCCTTCCGCCACAGCGCTTGCCCTCGCTCACTGCACGCTGTTCTCCGAGGCTGTGGCTGGGGCGCCTATCCTGTGAGTGCAGGTGGCGGTTCCTTTGCTCATTAAATCCGTGCCCACTGTGGGAGGAGAATGGAGTTTGGGTCAACCAGTGGAGTGAGTGGCCCCATTGCAGGATTCCAAGGAGCCCCAGTGCTCCCTCTTGGACACTGCTTCCCGCGTTCCCGAGCCCCAGCGACCTCCTTCTCCAGCAGACACGGGGTAAGTACTTCAGGCCCTCTCTGTGAAAGTTAGGAGGTTTTCTGTTGTGGACACGGGAGGAGACAGGGTGGGATCCTGGCTCTGGCACCAACTGCTGGGTGCCCTTAAGGCAAGTCCTGTTCCTCTGTGTCCCAAGTTTCTCCTTGGTAAATGGGGGAGACCCCATTTCCTCCACCCGAACCTGGCATATGGTGTCTGACTGAGAGGACACTTGGGATGCTGGGCTCGGATTTAAGGTACTTCGTCCCCCAGCAGGCTGGGTCTAGGAGCCCCAGGGGCTGTGCGTGGACTGGGGGCAGCCGGAGCTCTGCCGGGCCCTGCTTTCCTTGCTCTTCTGGAGTCGCGCTGACCGGCAGTGACCTTGGATGGGAGTGCTTGGCTGGCGCGCGTGCAGGGAAGGGTCGTAACCTCTGGTCTTGGGGCTCCGCGCAGCCCTCCTCTGGGAGGCGCCGGCCGGGGAGCGAGGCGGGGGCTGGTAGTGTGAAGCCTGTGGGGCGTCGCTCCCAGGGAGGCGTTGGGGGAAGGCATAGGACTCGTGGGCAGTCGGAGCCCCAGCCCGGAAGCAGCGCCCGCCCGAGGGCCCCGAGGCCCCGAGGCCCCGCTCGTCTCAATAGAGCTCGGTTCGGGCGCGGTGCCTCCGGGGCGTCGTAGTTCTCGAGGGCCGTGGGCGGGGGCGCGCGCAGCCCCCTCCTTTTGCACACGCCCCTTCTGCGCCTCAACGACGCGACGGAGCGCCGCGAAGGGCTCGGCCCCGATGGGCGTCGGCAATTGGTGGAGGGGCGGGCCTAAGGGCGGCCCGCCTTCAGATTGGCCAGGCCCGACGGGGGCGGGCCCGCGCATGCACTTAAGCAGCGGTGCCCCGACCGCGGCGGGGCAGTGTCAAGATGTCGGCGGCGGTGCCGGAGCTGAAGCAGATCAGCCGGGTGGAGGCTATGCGCCTGGGGCCGGGCTGGAGCCATTCGTGCCACGCCATGCTGTACGCCGCCAACCCCGGGCAGCTTTTCGGCCGCATCCCCATGCGCTTCTCGGTGCTGGTGAGGACGCGGGTGGGCGGGCGGGGGACGGGACACCGCTCGCACCCCGCGCCCGTGACCCGGCCCTCCCTTGCAGATGCAGATGCGCTTCGACGGGCTGCTGGGTTTTCCCGGGGGCTTCGTGGACCGGCGCTTTTGGTCTCTGGAGGACGGTCTGAACCGGGTGCTGGGCTTGGGCCTAGGCTGCCTGCGCCTCACGGAGGCCGACTATCTGAGCTCGCACCTGACCGAGGGCCCGCACCGCGTCGTGGCGCACCTGTACGCACGGCAGCTGACGCTGGAGCAGCTGCACGCTGTGGAGATCAGCGCGGTGCATTCGCGCGACCACGGCCTGGAGGTGGGGCCGCCGCCCGGGCCCCGCCCCCCGCCCCGGGGTTTGGCTCTGGCTCCGTGGAAGGCACCGATGGGTAACACGTCCCCCTGAGGGTCCCCTGGCCGGGCTGGGTGGGGTGTCGCTGTCTCCAGCATCGGGGTGGGGAGAGGGAACTGGGGGCAGGTGTGGGAGCGAGGGGCCCGGGGCTGGGGTTCCCTCGGGGCTGTGTTCCATCTGCCTTGCTGCCTGCCATTGCCAATCCTGGGAGCGGGGAGTGGGATCGGTGGGAGGATGGGATGGGGTGGTGCCTTCTGGGGAGGTGGGAAACTAGGGCTGGTTCATGGGCTGGATCTCACGGTTGGGGTGATGAAGGCTCTTAGGGTCTGTGGGTTTTATAGTCTGGAGAGGCGGGGAGTCATACTTGGGATATTTGGGATACACCCGTGGAAGGGGGAGCATGGGGTATGAACTGGGGGCTTCGTGCCAGCGGATGGGAGCTGGGACTTGAGAGTGCAAAGGGTGGTCATGGGTGCATGGGGTCAGCTTTGAAACTTGCCTGGGGAGTAGAGGGGCTGCACTGCTCCAAGGGTATGGCTGGCTTCCGCCTCACCAGACCCAGCCCGGGTCTCGCATTACAGCCTTCGCAACCTGGCTGCCCTTCCCCTGGCCTAGCAGCTCACAGGCTCCTCCTGCTAGGGCTGCACCATTGGTGTGGGGGCCTGATCCCACTCCGGTCTCTCTCTGTGCAGGTGCTGGGGCTTGTGCGCGTCCCACTTTACACCCAAAAGGACCGAGTCGGTGGCTTTCCCAACTTCCTGAGCAACGCCTTTACCAGCACCGCCAAGTACCAGCTGCTCTTCGCTCTCAAGGTGCTCAACATGATGCCCGAAGAGAAACTGGCTGAGGCTTTGGCCGCTGCCACTGAGAAGCAGAAGAAAGCGCTGGAGAAGCTCCTCCCGTCTTCCTCCTGAGGTTGAGTCTATGCGGCGTGTCTCTTGCCCTCCCCTGGTTCTGTGCCCTGAACTCCTAGGAGACGTATCTCCTCCTGTATGTGTTCACAACTCCTCTCTGCTGCCCTGGGCAGCTACCGGGTGGTGGCCAGGTTACTGGGAGCCCACCCTGGTCAGTAGATGGCCTGGCTTTCCAGGCTCAGGACATTTTCTCCTACCTCAAGGCGCAAACTCTCCACATGAGACTCAGGTTGGTGGAGGTATCCCCCATTCATCCACGTGGGTAGGTAAACACACAGACCATCGAGAAGTCCCTTTATTCTTGTGGAGCATGCCTTGAGTCCTGTCACCAGCCAGCCCCAGGGCTGAGAGAAGAGCAGGCTCAGCTTAGAATGTTGTACTGTTACTTTTGGTGGTGGTTAGCCTTACTTAATTTTTTCTATGGTGTGTGAACTGGGAGTGAGGCTTCAAAGCCCCTTTACCCCATTGGGGCTTGGTCCCTAAGGTTAGTTGGGGCCATGAGGCCGAGCTGGAGTTGTTGAAAGAGAAAGGACAGGAAAGTCCATTCTCGGCTGCTCTGTGTGTTCTCTGGTCCCAGCCACAGGCCTGGGGCTGAGTGCACCCGGGGGGGTGAGGGGGGCTTCTCCCACTACCCAAGGACTTAAGGGCGGGAGCCAGGCGCAAGAGTGCTGGGGTCCATTCAGCGTGGAGCTGATACGGGCCTCCTGTCCCAGGGGGAGGTGGCGTCCGCCTCCCTGTGGTTGCTGTGGGACTGCCAGCTTCAGGCCTCTCTGGGCCCTACACCTGCTCCAGGGCTGAGCTCCCTGCTCTTTGCTTTGCGAGCCTCCCTTTCTGCATTCCCAGCATAGGCTGCAGGCAGCTCCAGGACATGGTATGGAAGCACGGGCCGAGTGTGCAGAATGACAACCGCCGAGCCACCACAGACGGGAAGGTCACCACTGGCCCTATGTCCGGAAGGACTTCTCAGTGAAGCTAACAAAGTTTCCACAGCACCTGCTTGGCCTGGTAAGGAAAGCTGTGCTCCGGCCCAGCCTGAGCGTCTCTTCCACCTTAGAGCCTCGATGAAGTGGCCAGTACGTGGGGGCATAGGCACTTCTTTCTGTAAATAAAATACCTGTACCTGTTCCTCTCTTCCTTCCTTGGGGCTTGGGGGTGTGCATCACTCTTCAGATTGCTTCTGTAGACTCGATGGGGCTCGGGGCAAAGGCAGCCCTCGATGCAGGGGATGGCAGAGCAGGAGGGGGTCAGGCGGTCTGCCCTGCTCTGCACACGGTGGTCTCGGCCTGCCTTGCCCGGCTTTGGTTTGTCAGCCAGCACTGCAGGTGGCGGGATCAGAACGGAGCCCCTCACCAGCAGAGCTTACATTTTATTTTCCAGCCAATGACATACGCTGCCCAAGTGCCCAGTCCTCTCCGTGTGGCACCTGCGGTGTATGGGGACCCGCTCTCTCCCCGTGGCCCTGCCCGCTCTGGGCCTCACCCCCGGGCTTCTGGCCTAGAGGCCCTCGTCCTGCCTTGGTGTGGGCCTCCCTCCTCGCCCCAGCCCTATCCTGCTTGCTGCTCCGGGGGCCTGATCCTCCAAAGCTGCAGCCGCTTGCTGTCCGCGCTCCTGTCTTCCAGGCACACAGCTTCAGGGTGGATCAGTCACCCAACGTCGGATTCTGAGAAGGGAAAGGGAAGACTGAAGGGAGAGCTCACTGCTGCCCAGGGCACCCTGCTCTCCCAGCCCGGGGCCTGGGCTGGCGGACACTCACCGTCCCTCCCAGCTAAGGCTCCCGCCAGTTCTCCTTCCCGTTCAGTACTTGCAGCTTCTCCAAGCTCTGGGTCACTGAGCATAGCACTCGCCCTGAGGACGGGAGCAGTTAGTTACTGCTTTGCAAGTGTGAGAAGGCCGGGGGTGGGGGGTGGTGCCTAGGACTGCGTGGCCGTGGGGGATAGTAGGCTAGGGCAGGGCTGACCAGGCGGGGCTCTCCCTGTTCACCCACTTTCGGCCCCTGCTGGGGGTGAGGCCACTGGCTGCCCTCCTGGAGACTCACCCATTTCCTGGACTCGATCCTCCAATACTCCTGACAGCTCAGGGAGGCTCAGGGCCTGCAGGGAGGCTGGCCAGCCGTTGGAGTCTGTGGACGGAGAACCAGGTGGGCCTGGGGCCTGTGTGGTCACCACAGGTCCTGCCCTCTTTGTCCTGAGCTGCTGCGACCAGGGGACCCACCCAGCTGTCGGTTCCTGCGTGACCTCCTTGTTATACCAAAATACGTTCTCCCACCTGTTTCTTCAAAGCCCTGTCAGGGGCCGGCCCCAGGAATGAAAGTGTGAGGGTCCCTGGCCTACAGGGAGGTCTTGCCCCGGGGTAGCCCCAGCTGTAGGCTGCAGAAGTCACTGCAGATCCTGGACAGCACAGTTGGCCAGGGCCCAAGGGCTTTTGCCTCCCACCACGGGGAGGAAATGGGGGTGACAGGGCACCCTCACTCTGGAGCCTGGGATGGTGTAGAGGAGGGATGGAGTGTCCGTATGATAACTGCCGGAACAGGTGCTAACACGGGGCCCAGGGCAGCGTCTATGCAGTCCTGAGCCAGTACACTGTTCTTACCAGCTGTGGGGAGGGTTGTGCCCAGGGGGGACCCTCGGATGGACACCTCCTGCTTCACTCTGGCTGACAGCTCGGCTTGACAGGCTCTGCCAGACACAAGGCCAAGTGCTGGTGAGGGAGAGGCCTGGCAAGAGGGCCTCCCCTGGCCCCCGCGGGGGCGGCAGACACCCGCACCTCCGAGTGGCAGGTGGGGCTCTGCCTTCACGGCAAGCTCTCAAGGCCCGAGACCCAGGCAGAGGACGAGCTGCGCGTAGCATGCAGATTCTCGGGGCCCTGTTTGCTGCCTGGGTCTGCTCTGCAGACAGAGCCAGAACAAAATGGAGGACGACAGTGAGTGACCCCAAAAGGCCCTACCAACAAGCCCTTGGTTGAAGAATCTGGAGGCATCGGTGATTCAGGGTCTGGCCTGGGCCTGGGGGCAGCTCAGATGCCCACTCACCGCAGCTGGTCCAGGATGAGAGCGGCGTCCCGGGCGAGGGCCCAGGTCTCCTGCAGCTGGGCGTGCACGTCCTTCTGGGCGCCATCCTGCTCCAGGAGGCAGCTCTCCAGCACGGCGCGCAGCCCCTGCTCCTGTGACACCTGGCCTCGCATGGCCTCCACCTCCTCACAGCGCTGCCGTGCGAGACGCAGAAGCCCGCGTGCCTAAGTGAGCTGGGGGCGTGCAAGGCTGGCTGCCCCCGACCCCGGCTCTCTCTCTGCCGTCCCCTGGGCTGGAGGACGGGGACGCCCATCTCCAGATAGAGCCGCCTCTGCCCAAGCGCGGTGGCGTCCGTGCTGGCTGCTCGTTCTCCGCCCTCCCCCTTTATCTTCTGGGTCCGCCCGCGCTCCTGCCCGTGCATCTCCCCTTGGGCACAGGAACAGTACCGCTTTCTGCCCTTGCTGTCCCATCGCCTGTCCTGGCTGCTTCCCCTGCTGACCCCGGGTACTTGTCCCCACTGCTCGCTCTCCTCTCTGCGTCCTTCGCTGCAGCCGTGTCTCCACACCCCTCTCGCACGGCCCCTCCCCTGCTCCCCACCTACTTTGTGCAGCTGGATGGCGAGCTCCTGCATCTCGGCTTCGAGCCGGTCAGCATAGGCCAGCTCCAGGGCATCGCTGGGGGGATGGGCGCCACTGTGCCATCGAGCAATGGCCGAGGTCATCTTCCTCTTCGGCCCAAACAGCCTGCAGGGGTGAATTTGAGAGAAGTACACAGATCGGCGGGGTGTGCAGAGGTGCCACGGACCGTCCTTCCACCAAGATGGTCCCCTAGGCAAGGTCCCAGCTTGGAAGGGGGAGAGTGGCCCCCAGGATCCTGGGACAGATGACAGAAACAAAGGGTTCCAAGCAGTGACCCAGTTGGGGCTGGCCTCCCCTGCCTGGTTGCCTCCCCTGCCTGGTTGCTGCTGTTTTCACTCAACAGGGAGGCCAGGCCAGCCAGGGCCAGGCTGTGAATGGCCTCCCACCACCTTGGGAAGCTCTCAAGTAGACAGCTGGGCCAGCTTGGGGGGCTGGAGAGGCCAGCTGGCTGCAGGGAGCGAACGGACTTCCGGACAGGGCGGCTCATTCCACCGCAGCCTTGGGACGTTGCAAGCTAAGCTGGCCCCTTCAGGCTCGGCAGAAACCAAGGGCCCCTCTGCACTCACGTGATGCCAATTTCCTTCAGGTCGCTCTCAGTGAGGGTCAGGAAGATGCGGAGGTCCACGTCCTGCTCCTCGAACACCTGCAGGTACTTTAGACACCCAATCTGCTCCAGCAGCGTGGCGAGGTCCTGGAGGGCAGACGAGCCAGGGTGGGTCAGAGGGTGGGTGGGGACCTACAGAGGCACTGCGCCAACTCAGGGCCCTTCCTGCCAGGCGTGCATCCCTCGGTGCCGCCAGTCCCCGAACCCCCCCAGTGGGACGGTGCTGCTGGCGCCAAGGGCTCCAGCCCCCTCCTCTCTGTGCCCTCAGGCAGAGTAGACGGTCCGGAGGGCCTCAGCCCATCTGTCTCCACTTCAGCCTGGACGGTGTTAGTGCTTCTTGGAGGGCGGGTCCGGTAGCAACAAACTCGGAGTCTGTTTACCTGCGATCGCACGACCGTCTTAATTTCTTTCACTTTGGAAGGACAGTTTTTGCTCGGATATAGCATTCTTGGTGGAGTTTTGTTTTCCTCCTCTCATTACTCTGACACGGTCATCAAATGTCCTCTAGGTACCATGGTTTCTGATGGGAAATTGGCAGTTAATCTTAGGAGGTTTCCTTATGTGTAAAGGACTCACTTCTCTCTTGCTCCCTTCAAGCTTCGCCTTTTGTTTTTGGACAGTTTCATTACTTTAGGCCTAGCTGTGGACCCGAGTTTAACCTACTTAGGGTTCATACAGTTTCTTGGATCAAATGTAGGAAGGTTTGGCTATTTCTTAAACACTTTTTTGTGCTCTTCTCTACCACCTCTCCTTCTGGAACACCAATTATCTGTATGCTGGCTGCTTAATGGGGTCTCACGGGTTTCAGTTCATTCTTCATTCTCTTCTCAGATGGGATAATCTCAATTGATCAACATCAAGTTTGTGGGGCCTTCCGCATGCTCCAGTCTGCTGTGGAGCCCTCTCGTGAAACATTCATTTCAGTCATTGTACTTTTCACCTACGGAATCTCTATTTGATTCGTTTTTATTTCTATCACTTTATTGATATTCTCTATCTAGATAGGTTTTCTTGAGCTCACTGGACATATTTGAAAAAGCTGATCTAGAGTCTTCGTCCAGTAAGTCCCACATGACCGTCCTCAGGCACTGCTTCTGTTGACTTTTTATGGCCTATGAGCCATACTTCCTTGTTTCTTTGCACATCTTGTCTTTTTGTTGAAATTTGGACATTTCCAAGATTTTAAGGAATCTGTACACCCAACAGGGGGCTTGAACTTAAAACCCCAAGATCAAGAGTCACATGTTCCACCAAATGAGCCAGCCAGGCACCCCTCAAATTCGATATCTTAATGTGGTGGCTCTGGAGATTGAATTCTCCTCCGTCTCCACAGCTTGTTGCTGCTGCTTGTTGTAGAGGTTATTTGTTTAGTGCCTTTTAGATAAAGTCTGTGTTCTTTCTCACATGTGGCCACAGAAGTCTCTCCTCGGCTAGCTTAGTGGTCAGCTAAGGACTGGACAGATTTCCGTAAACACCAGAGACCAGTCAGTCTCCCCCTCTTTGCTGCACAGCTCTGTAGGCTTGGCTGGGGCACATCTTCGACACTCAGCCAGGCAGATGACAGTCCTACCTCAGCCTTTACTTCCTCCTTTTTAGAACCTCAAGGCCATCAGATGTATTCTCACGTCTTTCCTGACCATCCACACAACACAGCCTTAAGCAAGTGTGTGGCCTCCCAGATTCCCAGGAATATGTCAGAGCTTTACAAACCTCCTATGGACATCGCATTCCCCAGTTTTTCCTTTTCAGCTTTTGTGGTTAATCTTATTTGCCCCAACTATTATCCAACACCTCAGGCAGCTGCAAAGTTAAAACATATAACTCTAATTATTTTCAACACACATTCTCCAAGCAGAGGGCTTTTGTTATACTGGGTAGACAAGCTCTCAGTCAAGTCAAATACAGTTTTGTAAGCATGGCCTCCTAGGGAGTCATCAGATGCATCCAATAATGCCAATTATTTGAGAATGAAGCATTGAAAGAGCCCCTGCACTGGCTGTCACAGATACCCTGGCAATGGAGCGTGCAGATGAGACTAAAGCGAGTTAAAGTGCTACAAAGCTTGCAGTTTTGGGATTCAGCCACTTCTCTTGAATGAACATTTCCAGGTTGCTCCAAGCTTTTGCTTGATTCACAGAGTTTTGAAAAAAAAATTATTCTGACCACTTCTGCCAGTTTATTGCCTTTAATGGAGGAGCAAATTTTCAAAGGTTGTTACTCTGCCATTTGCCTTAACCTACTTTCTGAAACAGCCTAAGATCCCAGCACCACCACCACCCACTCTCCCATGAACATGTATTTAAGGAGTTGAAAGGTGTAGCTGTTCACTGAGCCTGGAAACATAGGCCCTGGAGAGAGCTCTCTGGAGGGGCCACAAGGAGAAGCCAGCAAAACTGCAGGCTTTTAGTGAATAGCAGAGCTGTGACTTTAATAAATGGCAAAAATGTACTTCTCTCTTGGGCGCCTGGGTGGCTGAGTTGGTTAAGCGACTGCCTTCGGCTCGGGTCATGATCCTGGAGTCCCGGGATCGAGTCCCGCATCGGGCTCCCTGCTCAGCAGGGAGTCTGCTTCTCCCTCTGACCCTCCCGACCCTCCCCCCTCTCGTGCTCTCTCTCTCTGTCTCTCTCTCTCAGATAAATAAATAAAATCTTAAAAAAAAAAATTTTAATAAAAAAAAATGTACTTCTCTCTTTCATCTTTGTACTACTTATGCCCACAGAGGGCAGGAGAAGTCAATAAACAGTTGATCTGCTGTGCTGGACCCATCACCCCTAAGAAGCTGGTGAGCCGGGCGCCTGGGTGGCTCAGTTGGTTAAGCAACTGCCTTCGGCTCAGGTCATGATCCCGGAGTCCCGGGATCGAGTCCCACATCAGGCTCCCTGCTCAGCAGGGAGTCTGCTTCTCCCTCTGACCCTCCTCCCTCTCATGCTCTCTGTCTCTCATTCTCTCTCTTGCAAATAAATAAAATCTTAAAAAAAAAAAAAAAAAAGCTGGGGAGCCAGAGCGACCCACAATGAGGAGGGCAGAGATGGCAAATTTCCTTAAGCGCCACTTTCTCTCTGCTTCATATGCATCTTGTCACGGACTTCTTCTGAAAGCAGCTCCATAAGACTGGTCCTGTTTTTCTCCGCCCCAGGCTCAGGGAGGCTGAGTAAAGTATGGAAACCAAGGGGAGAGACAGATCCCGCCCATGGAAAGGGATGGAACAGAAACCCTACAACTGGCACTTGGAGCCCTTAGGACTCCTCTCAGCCTGACTAGCTTCCCCGATCATTTGGGGGAAAACCATCACCACACTTTGCTCTCCACGGTGCCTGGCCTCACGGAGCGCGAGAGGTCTACCTGCCGGCTTCACAGATGGCCTTACCTGAGGTCCTGAATGGCGGGACCTCTCGGTCTGGGGCATCGATCCCGGGGAAGAGGCTGCCCCCGAAGGCCCGGTGCTGGGAGGCCACTGGCTCTCGCTGTTGCTGTAACGATTCTTGGTCTTCATATAACTTTTAGTTTGCTTGCGAACCGAACTTTTACAGGCATGATCCGAATCCTGTGGCAAGAAGCGTGCTTGAAGTTAACACTACGGGGCTCACAGCTAATGGAGCTGCATCCACTCTACCCTCTGTCCCAAAACCGTAGCTGGGAAACTGCCCCACCGGCCACATAGAAGCTTCCTTGGTGACTTGCACGGTGGTCGCTGCTCACGGAGGGCGGCCAAGGACACTGTGTGTCTGACGCGCACGAAGTCCTTGTCACCAGACTTGCCCTCTCGGAGGAGGCAGCCCCCACAACACCATGAAAGGGGAGGGAGGTGGGAGATCAAGAAAGGAGAAGCTTCACCTCGTTGCTCTCCAGAGAGGCCTCACTGCTGACTCCCGGGGCTCTTGTCAGGCCCTCGCTGCTGCTGCTGCACCTCCCGACCCCCAGGTTGGCGCCGAAGGCGTGCTCTTCTGACAACAGTCAAGACAAGGGCAGCTGACCACAGGTGTCCCTTGCAGGGCCTCCCCCAGAGCCCCGCACCCACTGCATCCAACTCCTGAAACAGCTCACTGTTCTCTGCTGCCCGGCCCAAGCCCTCCTGCCCTAGCACATGGACAGGGGCTTTGCCCGTTTTGTTCACTGATAAATCCAAGCGTCGATCTAGAGCAGTGCCTGGCCCCGCAGACACTCTGTCAACAGCTCCCAAACAAATGGTACATGTAACAGAACAGACATTTCCCCGAGGGCTTGCCAGTCAAGGAGCTTCCCTGGTTAGGAACGACTCCCGCAGATCCTGCACCTCCCCCGTCTCCGAGCCACGTTCTTAGTCCTCACAAAAGCCAGACCCTGCGGTACCCTTCACCCCCTCGTTCTCCACTGGCTGGACCCGCCACAGTTCCGTGCGCCCGCTGGGTGGGTAGAGGGGTGACGCATGGGGCCCCCCACACACCCCGACTGCTGCCGCTGCTGCTCTCCACATCCCGCTCATTGATTGGGGAGGTGACGTCCCTGTAGCAGAGGCCCCTCCCTTCCAGCGGGTTCTCATCACTGCTGTTGAAGGTGACGTAGCCCGGCAGAGGCACCTGCTCTGTGGACAGAATGGGGGACATACACCCACGTGAGCACAAAAGGGACAGAGTTCCTCCTTCCAAATTCAACCACCCCAGAGGAACCCGGGCACGAGGGAAGGCCCAGGATTCAGGCAAGCAGAAAGAAAACTGTCATCTAGCTGGCTGTTACCCCATCGGCTCCAACTGTGCAGTGTGCAGGTGAGGAAAGACTCCGAGGGGCTGGGGACCAGTCTGTGTCCCACAGCAAGAGCATGCAGATGGGGACTGGTGCCCCTTCCATCACACCATATGCCGCTTTGCCGAGTGGACAAAGCAGGAAACGGTCAGCTGTGTTCACAGGTTCCTGAGCCGAAGGAAAACCAGACCACTAAGTGGTCCTCGTAGCTGGGAATGAAATCTCACACACACCAGCCTTCGTGCTCCCTGTGACTTTTCTTTTTTTTTTTTTTTTAAGATTTTATTTATTTGCGAGACAGAGAATGAGAGACAGAGAGCATGAGAGGGAGGAGGGTCAGAGGGAGAAGCAGACTCCCTGCTGAGCAGGGAGC